ACAAATCATCACCCAATTCCTAAACCACTTGGAGAGCAACTTAAGCTTGGAGGAAGACACCTTCTTGCGGGTTTTCTTGAGAGATTTTGGATCAAAAATTTCTGGTTTCTTCACAAGATAAGAGGTATCCTTCATCAATGTAACGACCCCACCTCCCCCTAGGGCGAACCAGAGGGTTCGGCGGGCCGCCTGCCCGGCTCTCGCCGGGACTCAGTCGTTCATTAGAAACCTCAATTGAATTTCAAGATATATATATCAAAGGTTCCCAAACTTTACATATCAAAAGCGAAGCGTCCACGCTTCCGCAGCGCCACTCTGATCCTTGATCACAACTATTATACAGGTGGAAGTCCAAAACTAGCCTATTACACATCCAAGCAATTCTAAACGTTCAATACAATCCCAATAGGAATGATTACACAAAAGGAAATCCACGTTCACTCCATACATGAAATAATCCATGAATAAACACTACAAGCCCTTCCTTCGCCTTGAGACCTGTGCAGGGGAATAAAACATTTTTTTGGGGTGAGCTAGAAGCTCAGCGAGTAACCGGAAAAATCAGTAATCAAATCTGTTTAACAATAGTTCATTTCAATGATGTCATTTCAATATGGATTATCAATAATTCAAGAAACATTTACAATGGAAAGCGATAGTAACATTCATGAAAAGGATACGTTCATTCTCCTGTCATTTCATTGCATTTGATTTCATTCGTTCATTCATTCACCCCGTCCCTGGCTTTTGGCCAGGCTCCACCAACCTATAAGGTAATACTCGAGTATACCGAAACGTTCACCCAAGTTCCTAGTCGCACGACCGAGTCCGCTTCTGGCTCGAGACGACCGGTAACAAGGGGCAATGGCCAGTTCAGCCCAAAAGGCTTACATTCATGCATAATTAACATTTCAATCGCTCAATCATTAAAATTTCACAATCATTGAGGCTAAGTGCGATAAAGTACACACTCGCCTCGAAAACTCGTTTAGCAATCATTGAAAGCAAAATCAATAATAACAAGACACTGATATGCAAGCACGCATGATATGTAAGAAACAGTTCCAAAAGTAACTTTGAAAACGGTTCAAAAGTAGATAATGCAGTAAAGCGGTTCAAAAGTAATTTTGGAAACAGTTTGAGGTCACTCACCTCAATGGCTCAGCAATCATCCATCATACACTCAATGCAATCAAGTCCTTTCAAAGTTCGGACAGCACTTCCCCTGAATTTGTTTACTTTTCCAGCCATCACGGCTTCATTATATTTCTCATTCCAACCCAAAGGTACACACACCACAACAAGTTCATCCAATAGCCATTCAGCAAGCTCCAAGAAGTACTAGTACAAGTCAAGCTAGGAAAAGTCCGGAAATGAAAGTTAAGCTCAAAACCAGAAAAACAGTTTTGACGTCATTTTGCGGTAATGGTATCAAAGGGGCTACAATTATCGGATGGAGGTCCAAGACCCACCGTTTCGAAGCTAAGAACCAGGGCTACAACAATGTAGAAGGCCACTCAGTCCAAATCCTAGCACAACTAGGTCAAATATGCAGAATACCAAACCAGAACCGTAATTGCAGGTTTACAAATTACACTAAGCTGTAATTAGTCCAACTCAGTCTATACAGGTCCAAATGCATTGATTCCAAAGGCATATGATAGCTAAGACATCAAGCTACATTTAATCAGAAGACACTAACATCCAAATCCAAAGAAATTCCAGTCAAAACGGACGATTACAATCGCAGTTCGCACATTCTGATCACCCAGAACAGCAACAGTAAAATCGACATATCTCACTCTACACTAATCCAAATGACCTGAAATTTTGGAGGCACTTCAAAATCATCAATACCTACAACTTTCATGTTTTGAGAAAAGTCCAATTCGGCCTCTAACCCTATGATCCAAAACCGGACAGAATTAGGGGTTATCAACCCTAACTTTTCTCATTTCAATCCAAACCCAAAATTGATTGCAATTATCAATAATTCACACCTACTAGAGTCATTATAAGCCATTGCCAATCATCAAAAATAGCCACAACATCCCATTCATATAAAACCAGAAAATTCCTCAAAAATATAAAAACTTCACCAAATCACTTCAAATCAAGAAATAAATCACAAATATCATCACTTTAGCCACTACTAAGCATAACTTAAGCATCATTAGGTGTAGGAGTATGTTCAATCATCACTTACCTAGTATACAAGAGAAGAGGAGTTGTAGACCACCTTAGCTCTTCCAAAAACTTCACCAAACTCACCACTAACACCAAATGGAAAGGTTGTATGGAGTAGAAAATAGTTTAGGCAATTGGTTTGGATGATTTGAGCTAGTTGAAAGCTTGAAGTTTGAAGAAGTTTTCTTCCTTCTTGGCAAGAGAGAGGGCCGGCTATGGAGGAGGTAAGAAATGGTAATTTTTGTGCAATTTTTACGATATTTAACCATTTTGGTCAAAAGTCAAAAACATGAATAGTAAATCATAAAGTATAACCAATAAGAGAGTGACACTTGTCACCTCTTAAATGCATTCCTATCCCTTTCTTTTCCTCTCACATCAATCAAATTTCACTCTCTACTTATCTCTTAACACCCGATAAATTTCACACAGTATCCGGAATTTTACCTAATTGGCCGAATTTTTCCGAACTTTTCGCACTAGTGGGTCCCACATCCGATATACGTTCTTATTTTCTCAAAATCTAACCGATACTTGAAAAATCATCTAAAACCCATATTTACCCATAAAAATTATCTGGAGAAAGTTCTAGTAAAGAAAAATGTAGAAAAGGCGGGCGTTTAAAAAATAAACCCTAGAAAATTAGAAACTTTCCGGGTTCTCAAACTCATTTTTTTTCGGGGCGTCACAATCTCCCCTCCTTAAACGAATGTCGTCCTCGACATTCCACTTGCACTAATCAAGTCAAGAATCTCTTAGACGGCACTCAAGCCTCCAAACAAGCACTAAGATGCAAACAACACGTACTCGTCTAAGTTTCAATCCTACAGGCAATCACTTATGTGTCAAACCATTCCCACAGTCCGGCATCCTAAACTTCAAGCCTAGGATACACTACAGAGATCTGAAGCCTAAGCTCTGATACCAATTGTAACGACCCCACCTCCCCCTAGGGCGAACCAGAGGGTTCGGCGGGCCGCCTGCCCGGCTCTCGCCGGGACTCAGTCGTTCATTAGAAACCTCAATTGAATTTCAAGATATATATATCAAAGGTTACCAAACTTTACATATCAAAAGCGAAGCGTCCACGCTTCCGCAGCGCCACTCTGATCCTTGATCACAACTATTATACAGGTGGAAGTCCAAAACTAGCCTATTACACATCCAAGCAATTCTAAACGTTCAATACAATCCCAATAGGAATGATTACACAAAAGGAAATCCACGTTCACTCCATACATGAAATAATCCATGAATAAACACTACAAGCCCTTCCTTCGCCTTGAGCCCTGTGGAGGGGAATAAAACATTTTTTTGGGGCGAGCTAGAAGCTCAGCGAGTAACCGGAAAAATCAGTAATCAAATCTGTTTAACAATAGTTCATTTCAATGATGTCATTTCAATATGGATTATCAATAATTCAAGAAACATTTACAATGGAAAGCGATAGTAACATTCATGAAAAGGATACGTTCATTCTCCTGTCATTTCATTGCATTTGATTTCATTCGTTCATTCATTCACCCCGTCCCTGGCTTTTGGCCAGGCTCCACCAACCTACAAGGTAATACTCGAGTATACCGAAACGTTCACCCAAGTTCCTAGTCGCACGACCGAGTCCGCTTCTGGCAGACATATAAATATCAGTGCATATTTTATTTGCATTTTAATTCTTTAATAAATTTTAGCACGAAGTCCAATTGTTTTTAAATAAGTATGTAGAATTAAACGTTATGTGCAAAATAAAAGAATTGTGCTAAACTACTAAACTTCTTAGTTTTGTTACATTAACTTCATATTTCGATGGTAAACTATTTCATTGATCTAATCATTAATTACTTTGAATTCTAGTATTGTAACTAATTGTTTTGAAATAAAAGTGTAAAGATAATTTCTATGTAATAAATAATATAATTGTGCCAATATTAAATTATTCGGTTTTGCTATACTAAATTAATATTTCTTGAGTTAGATTAATTCTATTACTTTAAAATAAATTCTTTGATTTCCGATAACTAGTTTTAATCGTTAATAATGTTAAATGTTAATAGGAATTTCCGCGTTAAGATGAAAACCAATGAATTTTAGATAAATATGATTCTAATATACTAAACATACTTAATGCGTGAAAATTTGATAAATATATCCTTATCTTTCGTTGTTTTCGCAATAAGTGCGTAAAAATACTTTTATGTGCAAATTGACACCTTGGATTTAATTAATATTTCACTTGACTTTATATTACTAAATCAATAAATTTCGAGTTAGACTAACCCTATTTCTTGAGATATAATAATTGGAAATTCTAATAATTAATTTAATCGCTAAATAATATAAGAATTACTAGGAACCTTAATATTCAAGTTTAATCGATAATTATTCGATAAAAATGGGTTAGGTATAGTAGGGTATAATTAGGCGTTCAAATCGAACTTGGGATAATTTTTAGAATTAAGTCGGAATTGAGGAATTAAGTTGAGATTAAGGAGCGAAGTGAAAAGACTAAAATAACCTTACCTTACCTTCCATGCAAACCAAACAAGACGTCTGACCGCAAATCAAATCGTATTTGTTATTACCAATTCGATACGCAAACCAATTGTTATACGAAATCGATTCTTACACGTAAACCACTCTCACAAACTACGGCACACCAAATTATTCTTTCTATCTCACGGCTAAAACTACCTATCAATCACTCTACTTCACGTTTCATTCCACAACCACAAGACACAATACCATTCCTTCATTTTCACTGACACAAACCACAAATGTTAATTCCTTCTCTGCAGAAACAGCTCCTCGGACAGAAGCTTCAGCACCGCACCATTCAACCAATCAAAATGCACTACCAACACAACACTCAACCACTTCTACACTCAAAACCACGGAACCATCCCTCTTCCTTTTCATTCCTACACCGCAAACCACTGCACTTCATTTTCATCGTGAGGCATCCGAGAGCAAGGGAGGGAACGCGAGTTGAAATCTTCTGTCCGTTTTGTTCTGACCGTGAGCTGGAAGAAAGGCAGAGAGAAACCGTGAGCAAAACTTCAACCATTCTGCAACCAACTTCACGGCTGCAACACCACCAGCTTCCACCTCCACCAGTTGAAGCCGCTACACCAAACCAGAACCAGCAAACCTGTCGCGTGCGTGAGAGCCGAGAGGGAGCAGAAATTTTTCAGATTTTCGTGTGTGGTCTTAGCTTGCTTTGAGGTAAATTTTCTGGACTAAAAATGGATAATCAGAGGTAGTTTAAGCCAGCCGTGACCTTGCATGTGTTAATTTGGGTAATTAGATGATGAAACCAAAGCTGTGGAAAATATCTGTTTTGGTTAAAAACATTTCTGCCGAGGAGCTTGCTTGGAATTGTAGTTTTTATTTCTGACTTTATGCGACAATCTGAGTTGGATTAAGTGTCTAACTAATCAAAAACAAGAAGTTTAAGTCATCTAGTAATATGCATGTGAGGTTAGGCAGTCGGATGATGATATTAAGCCATTAGAAATTTCTGTTTTGGATGTTGATGTTCCAGCCGAGAGCTGAGATGAAAATGCAATTTTATTTCTGATTCCCTGTGATAATCTGAGCATGAAATGGAGCTGAACTAACTGGATTTTGGATGATTATTAGGATTAAGGCCTTGCATGATCATTTCATGAAGCCGGATGAAGAAATAAAAAGCTAAGGAAATTTTGTTTTGATGGAAAGTGACTGCCGAGAGGTTATCTTGCTAATGTAGCCTCATTCGGTTTAGTTTTTCTGTTTTGGAGCCTTAATCTTGATTAACTAGTAATGACAAGTTAATTAGGCGTGCATGTAGTTGACTAGTAAGTTTTAAAACAGAGAAATAAAATTAAGAGTGCAATCTGTCTCAATGCAAGATTATCCGAGCCAAGCTGGAAGATTGGTTGAAATTTTTGAGGTTAATGGTCGCTGCTTGAACTTGATTTCTGAACTGGAAACGTTTATTGTCTGACTAGATAAGTGTATAAGGAAAATGAGAGTTTAAAAGCATGTTTTAACCAGAAAATAAAATAAAAACAGAGAGCTCTCCATGCATGTTCAACCGTGACTGATTGGATAAAATTTCTGATCTCCTAGATGATTTGAGTTGTTATATGAACCTGGTTTTGAAGTGGAAACTTATTTTAATTTTTCCTTTGGAAAATAATGACTTAGAAATACAAAAGAGTGGTAAGTTTAAATTATATAAGTTGTTTAGCAATGAAATATTTGGGACATTGAATGATGGAACCAAAAAGGTTAGTACATGAATGCTGGAATTTTGTTGAGACAGCCGAATGTTGAGCTGAGATATCAACTTGGATTTTGGAAATTTTTCCTTGATTACATGATGGATTGAAATGTCTGGAATATGTTGTCTTGGAGTCTATAAGAAATATATGATGGTTTGAATAAAAACTGTTGGTGTGAAAAGAAAAAGAAAAAGGGGTTTTTCATAAGTGGACCAATGAAATTCCAGATTTTAGGATATTCCATGACCAGTCTCAATAAAATGTTGATATCTTGGTGTAGGAAAATCCGTTTAAGGCGCAGTCAGTGGCGTTTGAAACTAGAATCATAGGCCTTTGTCCTGTAGAAATTTCGTATTTTTCCTCCATGTGTACTACTGTCTGTGAATTTTTAAAGTGGACTGTTTTGCATGAATGTCCTGTTTCTTTGTGAAACAGAAATTGGGTTTTGGGTTGAGATTTTAGCTTACCTGTAGTTTAAATTCATGATTAAATTGTGGTTGGAAGTGGTTGATATTGTCAAGGGCTAATGATTGATGAAGCCCTTGGCCATTTGAATGATTTTACAAGTATTACAGGGTGACGAAAGTAAATTGTTGGAATGTCTTGGAGGCTTTACTTTTATTTTATTTGCTTATGATGGGCTTGCTGAAACCAAGTGCTAATGATTGATGAAGCCTTGGTTGATCATTTTATTTTATTCAGAAATGCACTTGTTGAAATCTAGGGCTAATGATTGACGAAGCCCTAGTAATTTGTTATATGATTTTTGCCATATTTTGATCCATATTATGATTTCAAAACGGAATCAGAGCTGTGGAAGTTGTATCGATCTTGCGAACTCGAGTGTCTGTGGTCAAAGTAATCAAAAATATTTTCCAGCTAGTAGTATAATATAAAAACTCAATATCTAGTGTTTTGCCTAAAACTTTCAACCCGATAATTTCCTTTAGCTCAAACTAGTCTTGATAGCTGTAGTATTTTAATGCTATAGCTTTTGAAAATTCTAGGTCTTATTTCAATTTCTTTTCTTTCCTTCAGCTTTACAATTGGATAGCTAACTTTAGGAAAAATTTCAAAATACGAGTTTTACAAATTTTAGCGAAAAGCCTGGGAGACTTGCTCGGCAAGAAAACTCTATTTTTAGGAAAAATAGTTTTTGGGAATAAATCTTGCAAAAAGCCGTATCTTTAGAGAAATGTTCAAAGTAACCTTCTAGCTTTGATATTCGGAGGTTTATCGACTTATTTCAATAAAATAATACTAGTTACTTTATTTTAGAAAAGTACCTCAAGGAAAACCATAAGAAATATCTTTTCTACTGTTGTCAAGTTTTAATCTAAGGAACCCTTGATCTTTCAAAGGGAAAGTGAACCAGTAGTATATTAAATATACCTCAATGGCTATAAGCTTAAAAACTGAGTAGAAACTTATAGTTTCAAATTTTTGGTTTTAGGGTTTTCCGAGGAAGCGGAATTCGATCCCCAATTTGATATCTGAACTCCACTCTTGGTGAGTGTCCCTGCCTGTTCTATGCCTATCCGTTTAAAGTGCTTTCTTGACTTGTTATGTGATAGGTTAAAAAAATGGTTTCTGTCCCATCGAAGTGAGCTGTGTGTACTTTATCACACTAGCCGTTCGAGTGGTGACTTGTGCAAAATATTTTCTCCTAAATCCTTGAATCTAAATGTAGTTACGTCGTTGGGTGAATCCCTCGACGCATGAATCTAACTACCATAAATCAATATGTAGTTACGTCGGTGGGTGAATTCCTCGACGCATGTATCTAACTACAATAAGTCATTGGGTGAATCCTCGACGCATGTATCTGATTGCAATCACGTTGTTTGGTGAATTCCTCGACGCATGTATCTGATTGCAATCACGTCATTGGATGAATCCCTCGACTAATTTTATACGGGTATATCTCGAGTATACTGCGTCGGTAGACGAAGTTCGGGCCCGAAGCAGAGGTATGGATGGTGACGGGTTAGGATTAAAGTAAGTGGATCTACATGGACTATAAGTAGTGAAAGTTGACGGAGGGTCAACTACGATGGTATCTGATCAAGCGTGGAAAATGGCTCCTGAGAGCCCACGTATCCTACCTTGTGCTGTTATACGCTTTCCTAACTGTTTAAATTTATGCAGTTATTAATCGCTGTTTGAAATTATGTGATTGCATGTTTTGGGGCACCACTGAGCTTTAGCTCACCCCACATTTATTGTTTTCCTTAACAGGTTCTGGGAACTGAAAGCTGGATGCTTAGTTTGTTTTTCTTTAGAGCCGTATTTGAATATTATACTTATTCTATGGGCTGTAACGTGTTATTGGAATAATGTATTTTCCTTTTTGGATTGCCACTTGAAGCTGGAAAATGTGTAGACCCTAATTTGATTTCTTGGCTTGTAAGTTTGTATTGTGGATTTATGCATTTTATCTATCCGGTTTGTTATGACTTTGTACTTTAGTACGTAGCGTAGGTCGTTAAGGGCCTCGACTGGTAATTTTTATCATGGCCATCTCTGAAGTTAATGTGGCTTTAGGTATGATTCTATAAGGAAAAAAAATTGTTTTGTAATAGATTAGTTTATTCTTCGAAAGGTTTTGGGTTAGATTGCTTGCATGAGTCCTGGCGAGAGCTGGGCAGACGGCCCGCCAACCCTTTGGTTCGCCTCAGGGGGAAAGTGGGGTCGCCACAAACCGATTGACGGAGAGTCATCGCGGGAAGATATACGAATGAGATTGGCAAAGCAAATGAAAATTAGCTCCTGAAAGCTACCATTTCCTTGAATTGTTTCTGTTTACATTTCACTGGAATTGTTTATTACTCGTATATTATCGTTTTCCTGTTGATTGGGATTGTTATGTGTATAACGTGCTTGCATGTGTGTTCTTGACCTCACGAGCTATTGCTCACCTCGTAGATTTGTTTTCCTTAACAGGAATGGACAGGGAATGAAACTCGGAGGAAACCCTTTTGATGTACTTTTGTAATAGGGTTTCCAATGGAAGTGACTAGACTTTCTGGCTGTTGTATATTTTGGAAAATTGATGTATCTTTTGGGATTTTGATGTAAGACTTGAATATTCAACTGTGGAAATGACTTTTCTTTAGTAGGCTTGTAATAATTGTTATATATTGATAAGTTTGAAGCTTTCCGCACTATCTTACTTTTTTGTCGTGAATGACTAGTATCGTATTAAGTTTGAACGGGTTTTGTACCGAGTCCTGGCGAGAGTTGGGCAGGCGTCCCGCGGATACCCTTTGGTTCGCTTATGGAGAAGTGGGGGCGTCACAGGTTCGACTTTTAATACCCTATACTCAATCTCAACCTGTATACTTGTAGAAAATCGCGTGTGGGGTATTTAAATTTTATAAATGTAAAATCTGACTGTGAATTGAGTTTAATTGTTATATGCATATCCTGCGCTCATCAATTTCTATAAGCATTTTACTAGTCATATTTATGCTAATTTTGTGTTAAAAAGAAAGTAATTTACGAAAATTTTTCGAACAAAACATTTGCCCATACAATGCACGACTTCTTTACTAATTAAATGACTCGTTGTACATCAGATTTTCAATACCTCAATGTTGGATCTCTTATTTTGTGCTACATCAAACAATTAAAAGATAACGTAAAAGTCAAACTCATGTACTTGAATATGACAACCAAACTATGTTATGGGCCTCTCTAGATAGTGATGTAACCTATTTCTATCAAAATTATTGATAAGCATGTATTTTGAGTGTTTTTGTGTGTTTTATCCATTTTTATAATTAATGAAGTGAAATTTACATTTTGTGGTTCAAAATTTGAAAAATTGCATTTCTATGTGTTAAAATGGTGAAAACTTCATAGTTTTGTAAGTTTGAATGATTCAATCATCAATGGAGTGATTTGAGAAGATAATTGGATGATTGTTGATGAATTAAAGTGATGTAAAGAGAATACGAAGTTTAATATGTTCATAAGATGAAATGTAATTAAGTATAAAAGAAAGAGAGTTTAATAGTTTTGATACCTTTGGTATTTCAGTTATATCTTGAGCTACAAGCATCAGATTGAGGTGACTCTTGAGCCATTTTGAAGCTAGCACATAGCTTTACATTTTATAAGTGACATCGAAATCTAGTTCATGGGTTTTCCTAGTCAAAATGTTAGAATACCGTCGGCCATTTTTGTTGTCGCAAGTTGAAACAGGGAATTGACCAGTATTATGGTCATTTTTCAATCTACAGAGTTCCAAATTAGATGATTCTTGAGACATTGGAAAGGTAACTCAAAAGGCTATAGCTTTCATGTTTTGAAAAAGATCTAGTTTAGTCTCTATCATTGCAAAATATATCAGTGGAAGTTGGTGCACAAGATTGAAGAATGACCAGAATTAAGAAAACCTGCAAAAGGGAAAACACGGGGTAATACGCGGCATCGTGCCCGTGTTTTCTGATGTCATGTTTTCTTCAATTGTGACTACAACTTGTTCTACAATTTGTAATTTATTCACACAAACTTTTTGACCAATTTGTCTATAAGAATTTCGATTGGATATGAGCAAAGTAAGCATAGAGATTTCAAGAAGCAACTTTTGATGATTTCAAGAGGCAAATTTGCCAACTAGAAAGAGCTTATCTTGAGATTGAACTCTCTATAATAGGGCCTTTGGAGAGCTTATTTGATAACCTTGGAAGGCTAGAAACACTACCAAAATGTAGTATTCACTAGTTTTTCTTAGTTCATTAGTATAGCATAGTTAGTATAGTTTATCTTTCTTGTACTTGTAGTTAGATTTGAATGAAGAATTAAGGAGTAAGATGGAGAGTTTGGAACTCATGTGATAAGGGTGACTTTTCTTCTACCACTTTCTCTTTTCTATTTGAGTTTATGTTTAGCTAAAATACAAGTATGGTCTTTTCTTTCATGATTTCTGAAAGTTTATGCCTAGAGTTATGGATGAACTTTCTATAATTTGTTTGTGATATTTACTTGGTTATTTGATGATATTATTTGAACAAGTTATTTATCACTTTTGCTTTTCTAATCATTATTAACTGGCCATTAATTGTGGTAATCTTAAGGTGTTAAGTTTACAATGAGAATTGGAATTTAACACTAATTCATAACAGTACTAAACCTAGGGAGTTCACTCACGAGAGTAGAGGAGCACCTTTGTGGGTTTAGTGATTTGTTTTATATAATTTCATAGAAGAAATGAGTTTGTAGTTAATTTATAACGACGAGAATAGGTATGGATTAACTATAAGTATAGTTGATTTGCTACAAGAGTAAGTTTCACATATATGAGGAAATTACATAATAACTAACCAGATAATAATATTCAATTTGTCGGTAATTTCAATTGCAAGAGTAGTGAGGAATTCCATACCTCTAAGAGATTTCTATTATTATTTTTATTACTTTTATTTCATGTTTGTAGTGTAAATTTAACTTCTTGCACTTATGATAGTCTAAATAATAAAGGAGTTCGAAAACTATCGGTAATTGACATTCTTTCCTGTGAGTTTGACTCTTAATACCCTATACTTAATCACGATCTGTATACTTACAGAAAATCATGTGTGGGGTATTTACAAATTTATAAATGTATAACTTAATTGTAGAATGAGTTTAAATTTTATATGCATACCCCGCTCGTCAATTATGAAATTGAAAATAATATAATCAATTTTGGATTAGTGTTTACTTGTATTGCATATTGAATGATATGTAATTATATGAACTAGATGACACTATTAATTTACATTTAATATCTATTTTATTATTTTTCCAAAGTTTCAATTCTGTACTACAAATAACAAAAAAGCAAAATAAAAGACCAAATCCACCACACGAAAAAGAAAAAAAATTAACACGAGTTGCCTGCATATCGCACACAGCATAGACACTGGTAAATTTATAATTAGCTACTTGAATCTATTTATTTCTTTAAATTAACTTTTTGATTTAGTTGGTCAAGTGATGTTAATATTGAACAAAAGAAGGTTTGCATGAGTCTTAGGTACTTTCCTCCATCCATATCAATATTCCACAGAAGCGTAAGATCGAGTCAACTCTTCTGCAACCATAGTTTTTCCACAGAAGAGTCTTTTACTCCTCTCTCCATAGTGTATAAATAGCCACCACAAAAGTAGATATACAGACCATGTTGATGAACGAATCATGCTTAATTTGTTTAATCCACAAATTAAGTTCTTAAGACCAACCATACATTCTCCTATATAACAAGCAATATTGTTGAATTCTTCCCCAAATATAAGTAGAATAGTCAAAAGAAAAAAACAAATCTAAACTTATTCATTTGCACTAGCACATAAGGAGCACGACCCTTTAGCAGCAGCTCCTTAATGCACTAATCTATCCTTAGTAGTCAATCTGCTCTTACAAATCCATTACACTATAAACTTAAAAAGACGATAAAAGAAATCTATTAAATAACAACAAATCAAAACTTTTTTTTTTGCCAAACCCCGATCAGGGGGGTGCCAGCCCCTTATTTATATTATAACCGAAATAAAAACTAAAACAACTGGAAAAGTTACAGACTCGCACACAGACGAACAACAACAAATCAAAACTTAAAACAAAGCATCTCAGAAAAAATTTATAAAGAAGCATCTCATTAGAAAATCCTACACTAGTGAGTATGGACGCACCTTATGTTAAGAAGCGTAAGACAAGTTTTCCGCGTGCACCAAGTTAATCCCGACGATTGAGAATTCTCCTTTATGGAGAGTCAAGAAAAAATTCAGTAGGAGAAAAAAGGGTTTTAAACTATCTCCTATATATGCTATTGTCTTTTCTTTCCTATCTGCTATTATTGACTCTAAACGAATGCCTAATTAGCGGTGAATGGGAACCTTCTGTAATAGTTAAAGATATATCTTTTATTAAAATAGTTATACGACATATAGATCTTATTATTGGATAATTATGCTCCTAATCCCGGGGTTTAAATTTCTTTATGATAGTACTCTCATTGACTTCAGCTTTGCAAATGACTAAGTTGGCATCATTGGAACCCATATTGTAATTATCATTCATTGTCATAGAATAAACTAATTTCAAAAAACGATAACATGTGTGATAGGGCATGAGCAACAGTATTATAAGGGTTTCTTCGTAGTAGGAATGTCGACGAATTTGTTCCATGTACTTGTCCCATAAACAAAGAATCCATTAAGCAACTTTTTATGCATGTCTTTTAAACCACACACAAAAATATTTAAAATAAACTAGTACATAGTTCTCTATAGTTTTTAACAAAGAGAGGAAAAAAAGGGTTTAATGCATCCAATAAGAAAATCTATACAAGATTGCGAGGAGATGGACTAACGATGCATTTGGTTCTCTGTAGATTTTGGAAATCAATATTCACCAAAACCAAATAAAACTTTTCCAAGAGATGCTAGAAAAAGTACTTGGAAAACCAAGACATGACCAAACAAACAAATCGAGAAAACCGTCAAGCGAATTGTAGAGATGTAAATGGAAAATCGGCAAAATGTAGAAAAGAAAAATCTTGCATCCAAAAAATCCCATATCTAGCAAAGTAGCACAAGAAAAGGCATATATGATATGGAGATGTTATCTATCGTTACTCACGAGGCATTCCACATTTTATAGAAAGATGACATTGTTTTAAAGCCTAAGGAGTTGTTTAAATACAAGTTTTACTCGTGCAAAATATTTTTCTTTCATCACAAAACCATTTGCAAATGCAATGCACGGCTTCTTTACCACTTAAATGACTTGTTGTGCATCAGATTGTCAATACGTTAATGTTGGATCTCTCATTTTGTAGTACATCAAACAATTGAAAGATAAAGTAAAAGTCAAATTCATGTACTTGAATATGATAACCAAAATACGTTATGGGCTTCTCTGGGAAGTGATGTAACCTATTTTATGTCAAAATTATGAAATTGAAAATAATACAATCAATTTTGGATTAGTGTGTACTTTTATTGCGTATCAAAGTGTATTTTTTTTAATATTTAACTACTTAGAAATGGGTGGATTTGCATAGACCCTACCCGTTTATTAAAACAA